CCACCGAGCAAGCGTGCCGAGCCCTCCTGATGGGATGGTTCAACTGGGCAGGGCCACCCGGCCTACTGTGCGTTGATGCCGGAACTGAACTTAATTCGGATGAGTTTGGCCAGTTCCTCCAGAAACACAATGTGAAAAGCCGCACTTGTGCTGCCGAGGCCCACTGGCAAAATGCCAGAACTGAACGCCATGGAGAATTTTGCAGGTCATGCTGAACAAGATAGATGCTGAACAACCCATTACAAACTATGACCAGTTAGCTTCAGTTTTGAGCCATGCAACTGGAACCAAGAATCAATGGAGTAGGCATCGTGGCTATCCCCCTGAACTGTTGGTGTTTGGAAAAGGGATTAGAGTTCCCGGATCGGTCACGTCTCACCCGTCCATATCAGCCCATGCAATGCCCATCTCAAATGCACCTGAAGGAATTCGCTTCCGTCAGGACCTTGCAGTACGTGAGGCTGCCAGAAAAGCTTTTGCTGCCGTTGACAATGACCAGACCATGCGCAGGGCCATAGTTCAAAGGAGCAGACCCCACCGAGGGTTCTTCGAAAAGGGAGAATGGGTAATGATGTGGAAAAAGAAAGGTGAAACAGATGGGGATTGGGTAGGACCTATGCAGGTCATCATCCACGAAAGCCAGAACGTGGTATGGGTGACACGCCAGCATAAATTGTATCGTGTTGCCCCAGAACATGTCCGTACCTTGTCAGCCATGGAAGAGTTCCGTAACACCCCTGAAATAAAGAACCACCAATCACAAAGCCCCTCCACCGTGGTTCCTGCCAGGGGAGGTGTCCAATTCCATGACCAAATTTCCATTGACCAGAGTCCAACAAATAACTCAAATCCTCACAATCAACAGAGAAACGAGGGTCAAGTTGACGGAAGTTCCCATGAATCTGCAGAGACTGGAGCAATCCCCAGTTCCACAATCGAGCCAGTTCCCACTGATGGCCGATCACCTGCTCATGATCAACCAGATGATGAGCCAGAGATTCCTTCCAGCCCATCGGAGAGTCCACAGTACAGGGTTGACGATGTCAAGGATCAAAATCAGTTGGCCATAGAAACACCGGTCCCAATATCCTCAGATGAAGAAAGTGGTTTATATGTTGAAGAAGAAAGCTGTTACCACTTGCAAGAAAACCAGATGTATCAGTTTGAAGTGAATGTGAACCAGAGGGATATTGACCACTGGAAAGAAGAAACCCGACCACAGGAAATGGCTTTCTTGGTGTCAGCAGCGAAACGCCAACGAAGTGAAGTGAAGATCTCCAACTTGAATGCAGCCGATAGGAAACTTTTTGAAGAAGCAAAGAACAAAGAAATCAACAGCTGGTTAGCCACCGAAACAGTGACTAGGATTCTCCGACACCAGGTTCCACAGGAGAACGTGATGCGATGCAGGTGGATTCTCACATGGAAGGATGTGGACAGCGTGAACACTCCAGGATCCACCACAGTTTCCAATAATGCTGCCCAGAAAGTTCCCGCGCGACAGGTGCCAAAGGCCCGACTTGTAGTGCTTGGATTTGAAGATCCAATGGTGGATCAGATTCCCCGTGACAGCCCGACGATGTCAAAACATTCACGAGTTCTCATCATGCAGCATGCTGCGAGTATGCACTGGGATATTCACAGTTTTGATATCAAGACGGAATGCCCCCACCAGAGATGAGGGAGAAACTCAGGTTGAAACAAAACGAAATTGTCAGACTCCTGAAAGGTGCGTATGGTAGAGTGGACGCACCATTCCTTTGGTTCCGAGAGTTGAAACAAAGCCTTGAACAATTAGGATTCTGCTCTGCGCCATTTGATCCATGCACTTTTGTACTGAGGGACCAACATCAGAGGACTGAGGGCCTTATTGGAATCCATGTTGACGATGGGTTGTGTTGCGGTTCACCGAGATTCCATCAGAAACTTGCAGAACTTGAAAAGAAATATCCTTTTGGTAGCAAAAAGAGCAGGGATTTCACTTTCACCGGGTTGAAGATCACTCAAAAGGAAGACTATGCAATTTGGGTCAACCAAGAACAATATGTCAAAGACATTCATCCCATCACAATTTCAAAAGAACGCAAAATAACTCCAAATGAATCAGTGAGTGAAACAGAGCGCCAAGGGCTTCGGGCCTTGGTTGGCTCCCTCCAATATGCCGCCACCAACACACGCCCAGATTTGTGCAGTCGCTTGGGATATCTACAAAGCCACATTAATAAAGCCAAAATTTCCACTTTACTTGAAGCCAACAAAATACTCCATGAAGCCAAAGTCAATAGCAATGTGACCATCAAAATACAATCCATTCCAATCAATGATCTCAGGTTTGTAGCATTTTCCGATGCCGCTTTTGCGTCCGAAAAGACATTGGACTCACACCAAGGGATGATCATCATGGCCAGTCACAAGAAGATTGGGGAAAATAAAGATAGTCCAGTAAACCCAATTGTATGGCACTCGAAAAAGATTCAAAAGGTTGTCGTGAGCACGTTGTCGGCAGAGGCAATGTCACTGGCAGGAGCAGTAGACATCCTTTCATGGACTCGCCTATATTGGGCCTGGCTGAGAGACGGCGGTTTCAAATGGCAAATGGCAGACGAAGAGCTGCTCAAGCTGCCACCGGCATTTGCGGCAATCCCTCCAACAGATGAGGAAAAATCCTCAACACCATCACTACCAGTTCAAGATATCCTCAAAACCATGAACATTAAAGCCCAATCAATCATAACCACAGACTGTAAATCACTTTATGACCTCATAAGCCGCCATGCACCCCCAAGCTGTCAAGAGTTTCGAACGCTGTTGCAAGCCAAACTCATCAAACAGCATATCAACAACGGAATCCAAATCCGTTAGGTCCCCTCTCAAGCACAGTTGGCAGATGCATTGACAAAAATCATGGATCCCAACATACTGCGTGAATGCTTAGCGATCGGCCGCTACAGTCTCCATGACGAGGCACAGATATTGAGAGCCAGATCCGACTCTCGAACACGATTGCAATGGTTGAGAAATATGTCTTCAAGTTCCCAAGGGGATCAAGCACGAAAGTGAAAGAAAAGCCAAGTCGTCTTAACATTTTGATTTTTGCTTGAATAATCCAAAAGGGGTTTTGCGAATCCAAGATAACATTCCAACCTCTGCACCTCGAACAAATTTAGAGAACAGAGTGAATCACGAAATGCTGCCTGTTCGAGATGTATCAGCTTGCAATCCCGGATCAGCCACATGTCCACTGCAGCCAATAGGGGTAAGGCTCAGGTTGTGCCGTTGGCGGGTGGGATCATTCGCTTGCAGCCATTGGAAAAGGTTGCGGTTGACCGTCGGTGCAGGGCGCCATCATTGGGAAATCCATTCAGATATTGTCAGGGACATCAACACCATTTTGATAGCTTGTCGGGGACAAGGACACCATTTGGTATCTAGGAGACAGGGTCTCTACTTTTGGTTTGGCAACTCCCTACCATATCCTTCGAGAATATACATATATACATATATACATATATACATATATACATATATACATATATACATATATACAGTACATATATATATATACACATATATATATACATATATATACATATATATATATATATACATACATACATACATGAATAAATAATAAATAGATAAATAAATAAATAAATACATACATAACATTACATTACATTACATGACATTACATTACATTACCATACATACATTACATTACATTACATTACTTTACATTACATTACATTAACATACATGCATAACATACATACATACCATACCATACCATACATACATTACATACATACATACATTACATACATTACATACATTACATACATTACATACATTACATACATTACATACATTACATACATTACATACATTACATACATTACATACATTACATACATTACATACATTACATACATTACATTACATTATATTACATTACATTACAATACAATACATACATACATACATACCATTAGATATTTACCAGTACATACATGACATGACATGACATGACATGACATGACATGACATGACATGACATGACATGACATGACATGACATTACATTACATTACATACATACATATATCCATGCATGCATGCATACGTACATTAATTGCATACATACATACATACATACATGCATGCATGCATACATACATACATACATACATAACATTACCTTACCTTACCTCACCTTACCTTACCTTGCCTTACCTTACCTTACCATACATTGCCATACATTACCATACGTTACCATACATTACATTACATTACATTACCTTACCTTACCTTACCATACATTACCATACATTACAATACATTACCATACGTTACCTGACATTACCAAACATTACCATACATTACCATACATTACCAAACATTCCCATACATTACCATACATTGCCATACATTACCATACATTACATTACTTTACTTTACATTACATTACACTACTTTACTTTACATTGCATTACATTATTTTACATTACATTACTTTACATTACAGTACATTACATTACTTTACATTACATTACATTACTTTACATTACATTACATTACATTACTTTACATTACATTACATTACTGTACATTACATTACATTAGATTACATTACTTGACATTACATTACATTACATTACTTTACATTACATTACATTACTTTACTTTACATTACATTACATACATAGTTTGTGTTTGCTGTATCGTTTTATGTTGGTATGCAGTTTATGCTAGTTGCCGACAAACACGGTAGATGATCAGGTTCAGACGGGGACAGTCAATGATTTCAACATCAAACATGGCAATTAAGCCCAATTGTTTTCCCTGAGGTTGGCCATGATCAGAAATATTCATGTTGGTCATTTCTTTCTTGAATGTTTAGTCTCACGAAACCTTTGAAGTGTGACCTTAGCATGAAGCCTCCCCTTACAACCAATGTGGATGCAACCGTTGGCCTCAGGCTCAGTCCACGTGCACAAGGTTTCCACATCCAATCTGTTTCCATTCTTGCGCTCGTGGAATGTACGTCTTTGATGTGTCGTGTACATCCCCAAAGCTCTCTGATGTTCTCTTGAAGGGAACACTTGCTCAGAGCTCGGATTCAATTCAACTCATTGATTGATGCATGATCTTTTTCCTTGCTTTGCGGCACTTTAAAAATTGGTATTTGAAGAATGTCAGCCATTTCATTTGCAACACCTATCACAAAATGAAGCCAAGTGAAGCCCAACAAACATGTTCCAATCAGCAACTTTGGCTTGAATTGGCAGAAACTATCAATGAGCAAACAGACCACGACAAATAAAATCCAGCGCCACGGTTTGTAAATTTCTGCGCACACATTTGAAAGCTGTAGATGCGACCTTAGTTTGCGTGTGTTTAACGGGGTTGTCCTCAACAGTTTGGATCAAGTTCTTGTTTGTGCATCCCTTGGGTTAAATTACAACTGGTTCATGATTAAGCGTGATCTGTTTCCCAACAAAAAGGATGCAAACCAAATTTGCCAGTTGCGGGCCAGAAAACGGAATAAAAGTGGTTGTGAAGACCAATACTTCTTTAGCCAAGGCACACGAGCATCAAGAAAGAGAAACCCAGAAACCAAAAGGATGTTCTCAGATCCGTTGAGTGTGGGCCGATGATACAATATCCAATTGAAAGATGGAGACAAAATGGTACCACCAAAGACATTGCATGGCAAGTAGCCAATATTGAGTTCCAAGGTTGACGAAAACGCTGAGAGTTCCTGAGCCGAAGTTCTTTGTGAACTGAATAGATGTTGCCAAAGACTGTAAACAGCACGCACATACCATAAAAACTGATCATCGCTTCTGCACGGGACATGCCCAAGCCGAAACCTGCATTCCAAAGGTGCGTGGGGTCATCGGCCAGGCCGGTGATCACGTAACTGATGCAAACAATCAAAACCCCATCCGTTGGGCCATTGAATGGACCAAGGTAAAGCGAACCCGTGAAATGTTCTTCCCACGTTGCGAAGAAGAAAGGCGTGGAAGTGGCACTCCAAACCGCTAAACATGCCCATGCGGTTTCACGACTGCCAAGTTGTAGCAGTGCCATAACATTTTGAGAGGACAACACAATGTTTAAAGCATCCACCCCATGGTCCACGAACAGACCCAAAGCAGAGGAAGTATTGGTCCTTCGGGCCTGTTTGCCGTCAATATTGTCCAGTGTTTGATAAGCAAAGGTGCAAAAGGCCAAGACAAACCACACCCATGATGAACAAGGTTCATTGAACTTTGGAGTATGAAAGTGAACCAAAAAATACCCAGCTAGCGACAACGCGAGGCCAAGAAGAGTTATCACGTTTGGAGCTAGCCACCCCGGTATGAATTTGACCAACAGCTCGGCCAACGGTGAGCAAAAATAAATGTACATCAAAGAGTTGTCGCTGCCGGAATAGGTGTATTCAGGCACTCGTTTCCTTCCAAACGGAGATATGTAGTTCCATGATGTACCTCTGGTGAACATAGTTCTTGCACCTTCCATAACAGGAACGAAAACCAAACAGATGGGACAATCAATCAGAACATATATAATAAGATGTTATGCGAATTTTGTTTGTCTGGACCAAAACGGTTAAATGTTCAATTGATTTATGACACTACTTTCATGTGGACAGATTTGCCAGCAATATCGACAATTTATTCGAATGCATGATGGTTCCAAAACATTTTTTTTTCCATATGCATTGTGGATTCCCAAAAGGGTCTGGCATCGTTGCCTTACCACGTTGGAGCCACGCAGCAACGGAAAACATCACCACTAAAAATTTTGGTTACACAAAGATTGAACATTGGCTAAAAAAATTGGAGAAAAACGAAACACATCGACGAAACCATCGATGTGACGTGCAAGGGCTCAGTTTTGGAATTGTTCCAAAATCATAGGTCAAAGTTGCCTGCATCGCACCTTTTTTGCAGTTATATTATACAGTATTCCGTTTTATGTTGTTTTTCACACCCAATGTAGTCACACTAGTAGAAGGTTACAGCAAGAAAAGGGCCGCTATGGCAGGCCCCACGTTCCCAAATATTTTCCCAAAAAAAATATCCGTTTCAGAGGATTCCAAACCAAAAAATAACAATCACACTATATAGCCTCTCTCCAAGTAGACTCAATGCATGATTTAGGTTGTTTTCCTGTTTTTGAATGTTAGGGTGACTGAGAACCCCCCAAAAAAGAATCATGACTGCAATTTCACATTTGAATGGGACCTGCATAGTGGAAAAACAATTGGTGTACAAGTGATTTCCAGATTTTTAGGCAAAACAAGCACCATAAAGAATCAAACCATGGCAATGTTTCTTGTTGGTAGATGCAAGCCTCATTGACCTTTTTTTTGCATTTGTTTAAGGCAATTTCGCAAAAATGATTCAACCTACAATAGCGCAACTGCTTTGCCAATTCTCCGCAAGATACTTACTGTGTTTGAATTGTACCATAACGCGATGAAATAATTTCCACTTACAGGTTTTTGTAGTTTTTGAAGTGGACAAGAACCATTTTCCCTTGCAACAAAACTAGACGACGGATGGCCCGAGAGCGTAGAGAAACAGGGTCTTCTGTTGTTAGTATTGAGACACTATATTACAAGACAATACAATAAAGATATACTATAGGCACACGAGACAAGTAGTATCAACACAATATACTACAAGTACAAGGCACTAGTTTGCATCTTATCCTTCGTATTGTTTTTCACACACAGAACCTTTTACACACAGACGCTTTTGCACAGAAGCTGTTACACACAGGAGTTTTTACATACAGAGACTTTTACACACAAGCGTTTTTACACACACACGCTTTTACACACAGAAACTTTGACAGACAGACGTTTTTACAAACAGACACTAGACACTTTTACGCACATAGGTTTTTACACACAGACGTTTTTACACACAGACACTGTGACACTTTTACACGCAAACACTTTTACACACAAACACTTTTACATACAGACACTTTTACACACAGACACTTTTACACACAGACGCATTTACACACAGACGCTTTTACACACAGAAACGTTTACACACAGACGCGTTTACACACAGAAGTTTTTACATTCTGTTTTTGACATCAAGCACATGATGGCATCGAGCTCTGTTGCAAACGTTTGCAGACATTTCACCAGTGAAGTGTCACATGTGTGATTTACAGCATCACGGTACCGATCTTTTTTGGGCCATTTATGTGGGATTTTCCATAATAAAATGAAATAACATGTGTCATACATGGCATCATGGTAGTTTTTTTGGGCGATTTATGTGAAATTTTCCATCATAAAATGAAATAACACGTGTCATACACGGCATCATGGTACCGAGTTTGTTTTATATAGATTTTGTATGATTTTGTGGGATATTCCCAGAATAAAATGAGATAACGTGTGCCATTTACTGCATTATGGTATTGGACCTTTTTTCTGTGCAAACGTTTGCAGACATTTCACTAGTGAAGTACTGTCACATGCGTGCTGGCATTTGACACACTAGTGAATATACGTATGGCATTTAAAACACAGACGCTTCTACACACAGACACTTTTACACACAGACACTTTTACCCACAGAAGCTTTTACACACACACGCTTTTCTGTTACACACACACACACTTTCACACACAGAAGCTTTTACACACAGATGCTTTTACACAGAGACTTTTACACACAGACGCTTTTACACACAAACGCTTTTACACACAGACGCTTTTACACAGAGACTTTTACACACAGACGCTTTTACACACAAACACTTTCACACACAGAGGCTTTTACACGCAGAAGCTTTTACACACAGACTCCCTTACACACAGACACTTTTACATACAGAAGCTTTTACACACAGACGCTTTTACACACAGACGCTTTTACACACAGAAGCTTTTACACACAGACGCCTTTACACACAGACGCTTTTACACACAGACCCTTTTACACACAGACGCTTTTACACACAGACTTTTACACACAGACACTTTTACACGCAGATGCTTTTACACACACACACACACTTTCACACACAGAGGCTTTTACACACAGGCGCTTTTACACACAGAGACTTTTACACACAGAGGCTTTTACAGACAGATGCTTTTACACACAGACGCTTTTACACACAGACACTTCTACCCACAGAAGCTTTTACAGACACACGCTTTTCTTTTACACACACACAGAAGCTTTCACACACAGAGGCTTTTCCACACAGACGCTTACACAAAGACTTTTACACACAGACGCTTTACACACAAGCGTTTTTACACACAGAGGCTTGTACACACAGAGGCTTTTACACACAGACTCCTTTACACACAGACGTTTTTACACGCTTTTACACACAGACGCTTTTACACACAGAGGCTTTTACACACAGACGCTTTTACACACGAACACTTTCACACACAGAGGCTTTTACACACAGACACTTTTGCACAGAGACTCCTTTACACACAGACGCTTTTACACACAGCTTTTACACACAGACGCTTTTACACACAGAGCTTTTACACACGCTTTTACCCACAGACGCTTTTACACACAGACAGAGCTTTTACACACCTTTACACACAGCTTTACACACGCTTTTACACACAGACGCTTTTACACACAGACGCTTTTACACACAGACGCTTTTTTACACACAGGCTTTTACACACAGAAGCTTTTACACACGCTTTTACACACACGACGCTTTTACACACAGAAGACAGACCTTTTACACACAGACGCTTTTACACACAGAAGCTTTGACACACAGACGCTTTTACACACAGACCCCTTTACACACAGACGCTTTTACACACAGACGCTTTTACACACAGAAGCTTTTACACACAAACGCTTTTACACACAGACGCTTTTACACACAGAAGCTTTTACACACAGACCCTTTTACACACAGACGCTTTTGCACAGAGACTCCTTTACACACAGAAGCTTTTACACACAGAAGCTTTTACACACAGGGGCTTTTACACGCAGACTCTTTTACACACACTAGATAAGAATGGATCATTGTAGTGATCCGACAGGAACTGAATCCTGTAACATGCAATTAGATTTTATATATATATATGGGACTATGGTGACCACCAGCTGCGACTGAAATGCGCCCAGGTGCGTCACCAAAGTCCTGCAGGTACGTTTACACAGGTCCCGGGGGAGTGTCTTCGTTGATCACCAACCCCCCATGGGACCCCGGTGATCCCCTGCCATAAATTATAATATAATATAATATAATATAATACAAGATAAGGACGAATGGTACAGATTGTACCAGAAGTTTTACGTCTATTCAGACGGTACACACTAGATTAGAATGGATCATTTGAGTGATCCGGCAGGAACTGAATCCTGTAACATGCAAATTAGATGGGAAGCAAATTAATCAACGATGCATCCTACGAATAATGGACGTTCTCCTGAATGATCTCCACGTCCTGAATCGACATCAAAAGAATGGAATATAGAATGAAACCATTGAAAGCCAAAATTGTTGTCGTCGGCGATGAATCGGCGAGGGTGTCCCAACCAGTATATCGGCGATGAATCGGCGATCATATATAGTAGATTCCAAAAAATTGTTCAGATTGCGGTAACCGTGTAAACATAGAAAATTGATGGTGGGGTTCTTGGCTTAGCCCCTTGCTATTGCAGTAAATCGCAAAAAAGCAGGTACGTCAGGGTGATCAGCCCTGATATCCCATCCAAGACCGTAGCTTCGTTGCACACGGTGGGTCAAGGATGCCGTGTGCCCCTGCATGAGTAAGTTACATTACGCAGATCCGAGACCAAGACAAAAAGTAGAAGTTTTACATCTATTCAGATGTGTCACACACACACCCTGCCGAGGCAGGGTTTCCTTTTGGAAGAGTCCAACTGTGCTCAGCTATGGTACATGCAGCACCAAACGTCAAGCTTTGCAAACCCCTGCATAATCAAAACTAATATCAGAAGTTTAACATCTATGCAGAGTGTCACACACACCCTGCCGAAGCAGGGTTCTGTTTTTGACAAACGAAATCAGTTGTAGCTTGATGCACGAATTGCTGTATACCTTCGATACAGTGACGTGGCAAGGCTTCACTCAGTATATCAGGAAGTTGACGATGAGGCCTCTTGAAGAGCTTGGATCGCATCATGGAAGCTCATGTTCTCGACCATTCGCCATATGTCGGCAGACTCACCCGATGCCCTGGTTGCCGTCAATGAGTCGGAAAGTCGGCCCGCTAGTTGAAATTGTAGTCAAAGAACTCGTTGCTTCAGGAGGTAGTGCTGTGTCAATAGCCACGTGGCGAAAAGGGTTGTGCCCATGTAAGAGAGGAATTTCAAAGTGGTGGCGCCAATAGTCAGCAGTTTGTGTAGACCATTCCCAATTGCCTGAAAGTCCGTAGGAGAAATGTTCAGGATCTCGACTCTCGACATTTGGAGATTCCCGACGAGGGGATTTCTTCAATA